CCCAACACAAACATGTCAATTTCACACACTGCATTTTGACTCGCGACTTTGCCCGATTTCCTCTGCAGTTTCGTGATCCTGGTTTTTGAGGATCACAAAACTGCGGAGGAAATCGGGCGAAGCCACGGGTCAAATGCAGCCCCGCAGCCTCAGGTGTGAAATTGACAAATAGTGTCGGGGCAAACGGCGGCTGCGCCGCGAGGCAGCTCTAGTGCGAAATTGCCCTCAGTCTCTTCTTTGGCTTCAACGGTCTAACACCATATTCTACCCCATGTGTAAACCTGAGATTTTCCACCTAGAGCCTTTTCCACAAAGAGTTACTCTTTCTCAGTGTCTATTTATGTCTGTTGTGTATAGACCATGTCATCTGTCTCAATCCTGTTTTGCTTCCTGCTTTGCCTTCTGCAATGTAAGTGAGGAGGGCAGGGCACACCAACAAATGTACTGCTCCTCCCCTTATCCCTCCCAGCCTACCTGAATGATGAATTAATGAGTATTATGATAGGGGAGGATGGGGAAGGGGGGAGAAATATGTTTTTCACTACTGCGTAGACCACAATGAAGCATTTAACACTGCAAAGCCACAGGGCACAGAATGTGCTTTCGGTGGGCCAGTACTTTTCCAGCAAGACGGAAGATTAGTAAAATAGTCTATCCTTCGCTTCCCCCAGTACAAGGTTTACAGTAAACAAACAGAAGCACAAAGTAAGAATATAGAGAAGAAAGTGGATGGAACTCCTTAGTCTACGATGAATGTTTGTGAATATACAACAGGCTGCTGTTTCAAGGGGGAGTAAATGACACAAGTTTGCCAAACTGAAATGTTTTCGTTCTCACCGTCTGGCTGCCATTTCATGGCATCAAGTTCAGGCCCTGTGTCTAAATCTCAATTGTCAGAGTGGCAACAGAAATAAATATTTCCTTGAAAATAAAGTAGAGCTACAGCTTGGTAATATTTTGCCAGGAGAGAGATCGTGGTGTGTGTGCGTATGTGAGGAGCAGTACGGTGGCTTGTTTGGGCAGCAAAGCCTGGCTGGAGGTCGCAAGAGAGGAAGAGAGAATTTATGTATTTAGAGTATTTATATACTGACTTTCAACCAAACGTTTCCCAAGTGGTTTGGGATTCTTTGCAATGCATGGCCCAGAAATATCAGCCTGTGGACACTTGACATTTTGTCAGTACATCCTTCCTTTTCACCTGTATCTTCCTGGAAACATGAATTTAGAGATCATTTCAGGTGGGTGCCTGTGTTGGTCTGGAGTAGAAAAAGCAAGATTCAAGTCCAGTAGCACTGTAAAGACCAACACGTTTTTCCAGTAAGAAGAAGAGTTGGTTTTAGACCCCACTCTTCACTCTGCAAAGAAGTCTCAGAGCAGCTTACAGTCACCTTCTCTTCCTCACCCCACGACACGTCACACACACTGGCTGCGATCACACGCACTAAATAATCCACTTTAAATCCACTTTCAGTGCACTTTTGAATTGGATTTTGCCAGTTCACACAGTAAAAATCCAGTTGGAAAGTGGATGGAAAGTGGATTATTTAGTGTGTGTGACCACAGCATAAGGCAGGTGGGGCTGAGAGAGTTCTGAGAGAACAGTGACTGACCCAAGGTCCCCTAGCTGGCTTCATGTGGAGGAGTGGGCACTCAAACCGGGTTCTCCAGATTAGAGTCTGCCGCTCTTAACCACTACACCAAGCTGGCACCAAGGGTAAAAGGTTTCGAGAGTCAAAGCTCCCTTCATCAGATACATGTACTTTGACTCTTGAAAGCTTGTCCCCTGGAAAATCTTGTCATTCCCTAAGGTGCTACTGGACTCAAATCATGAATTCAGAGAGAAAATAATGCCTTTCTCAAAATGGCTGACCTAATTATATATTTGCACAGCATGTTCGAATATTTCATCGACATCCCAATTAGTCCTGGCCTGAACTGGCACAGAAATGGGGAGGGTACTTTCTGCTTGTAGGTCTGAGTCATTAAAACTATGCTGGTAAAGAAGATCTGAGAGTCTTTAAAGGCTGCCATCGGATCTGAAAGGAGTGGGGAAAACTGCAAAGTGCTGCATCAAAAGGCTGCCATCGGAGTGGGGAAAACTGCAAAGTGCTGCATTCTTTTCATGTTGCCCCCAGGGGGTTATCCACCCAGCCTTGCTGACAGCGTACTGACTGCCTTGCAAATATTCAGCAGGGGGATTCTTCTTGTCATTCCTTTTTGCGTTTTCACACAACAGCCAGAAACAGCAATGGGTTTAGATTTTATGCGTTTGATGAAACAAGAGCTCTGACTCACGAAAGCGTTTGCTGCAGTAAATCCTGTTCGTCTTTAATGGACTTGTGGTTCGTTTTGCTGTCATAAAGTCTTCGCTTTCATTGTGGTCAGTTGAGGGTGGACGTTTGCCCTATATTTGGCTGTTTAACAGGGGCTAATGCCCTTGTCTCAGCAGGAGTTCCTGCATTATACCAGTGGTTTCCTGCACAGAAAACCCCTTTTGTTTGTGAACCAAACACAGGCGTTTATGCTTCCTAAAGAACAGGGGAGGGCAACAATGCACCCAGCTGAATTGCCTCCTTATTTATTTGAATTGCTTTGCTGGTGGCTAAACGTTCTTGTCATTCCTCTCAAGAGCAAGCAATTCATTTTCATTCGAGGCTGCTGAATTCTTCCTCCCATTCCACTCCCCCCCCCCAGCTTTTTAGCCCTGCAGCAGGGGGAAAAATGCATGCAAAGGAGCCTAAAATGACTATACCACGCTGCCACAAATCAGTGGCAGAACTGCTATTGGCTGGAGCAGTTTGCTATATGAAGCTGCTACATGTATAATTACAAGCAATTCAGAATTCTTAAAAGGCTGGCCTGGTTCAATGAATCAACCTCTTTTTTTCTGGACATATAGTTGCACAAAATGGAAAGGTGAATGATTTTGAGACAGGTGCCCATGGAGCACAGACTGATTGCTGATAAACAGTCCCACCCCCTTTCATTTCCCAATAGTGAAATGATAGCAAACAGTGACCTGTTTTTTTAAAGCTGTTTCCCCCCTAAATGTAACAAATTAGCATAGCTTAGATGTGGATTCAGCCTTCCTTGTAATAAAGAAATTGCTATAAATTGCTGCTTTATGAGGTTGGGAAATCTCTTGCTGTATTCTGTGCATCCTATCTTTCAACTGTGTCATTGGAACATCTCATTTGATTTTTTAAAATCATATACAGTTACATAGTGCTTATTCCATGTACACTCATGATGCTGGAATAGTAATCGTGTTACAGTAGTGGGTGTCCCTCCCGTGCAGATGGGGGAAAAATGTAATGGAGGTGCCTCTAGAGCGAAAGCATATGTTTCTGCAAATCTGGCATAATGTCATGTTTGCACAAAATGTGAAAAAATATATCAAAGCCCGGGATTAAAAACTCCCAAGAAAGTAACAAGTGACACCTGTGCATGCCCAGATGTTGTGGGGAAAAGAATTCCAGCTGACATCTTTGATTTCCTAGCAACCCATGATTCTGCACAAAATGTTTAAAGTGGGATGGAATAAAAACCACAGGGTGGTTGGCCAATTGAGTGTGTTAGGGAAGACAGAGGAAATAGGTTAGTTGGTCTATAAAGGGAGGCGAAAACAGGGGTATCTGGGTGGGTTGAGGGTGGAACAAAATAGGCAGTTGGGCAGGTTACTGATTGGGGGAAGAACGAATGTGTGGGTGGGTAAGGAAGGGTTAAAAAGAGGCAGAGCAGGGGGAGAAGAGGTAGGGAATGGTAGGACGGAATGGGATTTCCTCTTCCCCACAAGTCCCTTGTAGGTCCCCCCTCTTGTAACCTGTCTGGTACAGCAGTCCCCAACCTTTTTGGTATAGTGACTCACAAGTCCAAATCCACTAAATAACCTTGTCAGAGCATGCGCAGATCAATAGAACTGCAAAAACCCAGAGCCCACTTTCACAGGCTCCCCAGCCCACATCTGGGAAATGCTGCTCTCCCTTATCCCACCCTTCCTCGAAGTAGCTTAGAGTTAGTTATATGGTTTTCCCTTCCCTGTTTTATCCTCAGAACCCTGTGAGGTATATTAGGTTGAGAGAGGCCCCGGTCACACGGGAGATTTTGGCCCAGGAGAGGGACGGATTGGGGGCGCAGCAAACGGGCGCGAGCACACCGCAACATCTGGGAATCGGCTCGCACCCGTCCCCAATCCATCCCTTCAGGCCAATAACGCGCTGTAAAAAAGAACACCCCCAGAGGAGGACTTACTTGGGACGCCGTATCAAGCGCGGCCGTGGGATCACCGGCGCGCTCTTCGTTCGTAGCAATCCCGGCTCCCGGCCAAACTGCGCATGCTCACACATGCGCAGTTCGGCTGCCTCGCTTCCCTGTCAGTGGCCTCCCCCCGGCATCTGATCGTGCCGGGGAGGAAGTGCACGGCGGCTCAGGGGATCTATGTGATCCCGCCGCCGCGTGTCTCTTTTGGTGCGGCTTTAAAAAGCCGCACTTTGCCCATGTTCCCCCTCCTCCCCCGTGTGGCAGGGGCCAGAGTGTGACTGGCCCAAGGTCACCTAGTATTCCTCAAGGAAGAGTGAGGTTTTGAACTTTGATCCCCCAGATCCTGGTCTAGGACTTCCACCACTGCATCACAGGGGCTGTATACCTGTAACTTTGTACTCTCTGCTTAATTAAAACCTGACTTTTCAGCTGGGATTCTAAGTAACCTGAAAGTTTGCACTCACAACTAAAGCCTATCCAGTGACTGATATTGCTGGTGCCTATTTAGTATCATTTTGGGATGTTGTTGGAGGTTGGTTGGTAGGGACGTAGGTGCGTGTTTGAGATTCAAAATATATTCCTTGTCCTACAACAGTGGACAGTAGCAGTGACAGAGCCACAGTTGCCAGCCAGCGTGGACCTTTTTGAAATTATCTTGAACGTGAAGATGGTGATGCCAAGAAAATTAATTATTCTGTGTATTCACTGTTAATACTTTAGGGTAGCCACAGACCACAATGTCGACAACACAACGGGTATCCTGAGAGAGTGGCTGAAGAATGTACAAAAGATGTATCACTATGTGGAGTGGAGGCCAATGGATGACCCTCAGTAAGTACTGGAGTGCTAGGGGGTTTTTTAGTCGAAGTCACGGGCTGAACAAGTTCCAGCTCCTTCGCTGCTGGGGGATTTGTTCTGCAATACTGCCTTGCCTCTCAAATGTGTTCAGTAAGAGACATGGAGGGAGGCTGGCAATTTCTTCCCTCTCCCTGTCCTGCCCTCCCCACATATTGTTTCACGGGTCCTCCCTTTGGCAGAACTGGATTTGATGCTCAACATGGGGCTACTGCTCGAAATGGCAGCCCTGTGTCATGTTAGGAAGCTGCCTTATACTGAATCAGATGATTGGTCCATCAAGGTCAGTATTGTCTACTCAGACTGGCAGCAGCTCTCCAGAATCTTAAGCAGAGGTTTTTCACGTCACCTACTACCTGGTCCTTTTAACTGGAGATGCCAGGGATTGAACCTGAGACCTTTGGCATGCAAAGCAGAGGCTCTTCCACTGAGCCACAGCCCTAGTCCATATTACCCATGTTGCCTCCTATAACAAGATTTAGTCCATACTGCCCATTCCATTCTCCCTCCTGTTTTGTCTGCTCCACATTATTGGCTGATGGCAGTGGGGAAGTGCAAGGAAATGGCATGAGAAACTTAAATACCGGGAAGAAGGAGAACAGGAACTGGCGCAGTACTGCTGTTTTTAAGTGGCCTGTGTCAACCACTAATTTTGGCCTCTAAGACAAGCTGTTCTAATTCCAGTTCAGCATGTGGCACTTGCAAAATACTGATCATGTCAGGCCTTAAGTGATATTGTGAAGGGCTCTTTTCCATATCTGCACAGCTATAAATTGCACTTTCATGTTGGTGTATCATAAGTTAGCAAAGGCAGAGAACTTTTGGAACTTAATTGCAATGGGTATATAAACCCAGAGAAGAAATGATTCAAACTAGGCTTTTTTTAAAGTGCCAGGTTCATCCTTCATGCCAGATTCTGCAGTTGCCATGGAATGCAAATACCCACCTAGACGGCTGAAGTTCAGCACAGCGTTGGCTTTTAGGGAGACAAGTAGGGAGCGCTTGCCACACTTGGTTTTTTTCCTGCCACCTGAAAAGTGCTAGCACCTCACCGTCACCAGCCAGTCAAACCCTTACCTAGTGGGAATATGCTAAACCCACCAAGTGTTGATCTGTCGGTTGAGGCTAATTGACAGTAGCAAAAAAGCTGATAAAATTGCTTGGTTAGCAAGCTTTGGGGCTACACAGAATGCTTTCACCGGCAGCAGGAGTGCAAAGCTTGCTAAAGAGACTATTACTACCACTGTGGGATCTGTTCTGTTTTCATATGGAATGAACCTGGCAACTCCTCTGATGGGCCAGTATAATTGGCTTTTTTTTTTTTGCCATCAAGTCACAGCTGACTTTTGGCACCCCCATAGAGTTTTCAAGTCAAGATATGTTCAGAGGTGGTTTAATATCTGGTTGCTATGACACCTGCCATTTGATGACAGTGTAGTTGCTTCTTACTCTAGTTCTAGAGTCTGAACGTACGTTTCTTATTTACATATAAGCATGTAAGTCAGAGAGCTTTTGGAATTAGGAAGCCAGCCTTTGTCTTTACAAAATTCTGCCCTTAACAGTAAATGTTTCCCAGGGGATTAAGAACATAAGAAGAGGCCTGCCGGATCAGACCAGTGGTCCATCTAGTCCAGCATCCTCTCTCACACAGTGGCCAACCAGTTCCTCTGGATGGCCACCAATAAGGCATAGAGGCTGAGGCCTTCCCCTGATGTTGCCTCCTGGCTCCGGGACTCAGAGGGTTAGTGCCTCTGAATGTGGAGGTTCCCCTCAGCCACCATGGCTAGTAGTCATTGATAGTTTGGTGTAGTGCCAGTTTGGTGTAGTGGTTAAGTGTGTGGACTCTAATCTGGGAGAACCGGGTTTGATTCCCCATTCCTCCACTTGCACCTGCTGATGTGACCTTGGGTCAGTCGCAAGCTCTGGCACAGCTGTCCTTGAAAAAGAGCAGTTTCTGTCAAGAGCTCTCTCAGCAAGCTCTTTATTCCTGTGGCCATCACTACATCCTCTGGCAGTGAATTCCACATTTTAATCACTCTCTATGTAAAGAAGTATTTCCTTTTCTCCATCCTGTATCTCCTGCCCATCAGTTTCATTGGATGCCCTCGAGCAATGTTCCCTCTAAGCTCCAAAGTCTTCTGAGCAAAAATTCTACTTTGTGAGCTACTGGCATTAAAGTTGTGAGCGAGTGATTTGGCTCCTGCATAAATTAAGTTTGTTCTGGAGCCATCCTTCCTGAGCTGAGACAAAAATGTGTGAGCCAGAGGCTAAAAACCTGTGAGCTAGCTCACACTAATTCAGCTTAGAGGGAACACTGCCCTTGAGTTCTGTTATTTTGGGAGAGGGAGAAAAATCTCTCTTTGTCTATTCTCTCCACCCTGTGTATAGTTCTGTAAACCTCTGTCATGTCCCCCCTTAGTCGCCTCTTTCCTAAACGGAAAAGTCCCAGACTCTTCAGCCTTTCCTCATAGGGAAGGTGCTCCAACCCCCTAACCATCTTGGTTGCCCTCCTCTGTACTTTCTCCAGCTCTCCAAAGTCCTTTTTGAGATATCGCTCCCACTTATTCTTATTCAAGTTTATCTTGTCTTATCTAAAGGGATACCCAAAATTTAACACGGTAACAAAAAGAGTGCCCCTCCCCCACCCCATATTTCTTAGGGATAACCCAGATCTGCTGTTGTTTGTTGGAAGGCTGCTTGTCTGAACTGTTGATTATTTATGTATTTGGAGAGTTATACCTCACTTTTCTTCGCAGTGGGGGCCCAAAGAATCTCACAGCACCATTCTCCCCTCCGCCATTTTAGTCTCACAAAAACCCTGTGAAGCCGGTGAGGCTGAGAGAGAGTGATTGGTGAGCTTCCATGGCAGCATGGCTATTCAGAGTTGGGTCTCTCAGATCCTAGCCTGAGACTCTAACCATGCTGACCTTCCTTGTCAGAAGAGAGAAGGAAAACATAATGGGCGCTTTCACACAGACCAAATAATGCACTTCCAATCCACTCTGCAACTGGATTTTACTGTGGCTGATTCTGCACCCATCTGTTTCCTCACAGTTTTTCCACAGGCACATCGGGTGGTTAATCTCCCTCTACACTGCATGCCGCTTTCACTTGCTTTGTTCATTGGGTTTTATGGTACCTACTGCATAGATTTTTGGCTGTTCAGGGGAGACTTCGTAGTCAGTACGGCATTGCCCCAGGGTATCTGAATGTAGTTTTGAGCGGCACATTTCCCTTCCTCCGCTTCCAATTCGAAAGGAACAATAAGCAGACAACTTAACATGGCTTCATTGATCTCCATCAGTTCCCCATCCCTATTTCCCCCTCTGTATGTATCACCTCACCATGAATTACTTGGCTCAGGTGGCTTATGACCGCTGAGGCAAGTACTGACACAGGAAAATCTGCATACCAGTGCAGGAGCGAGCAAACAAAATAGATGGCAAGCTGACACTAGCCAATGCAGAAACCAGGATCTGAGGCAATGCAATGAAAACAGATATTCCGAGGCAAGGGTGAACCAGGCTGAGTGCTAATAAAATATGGAGCGAATGCCAGATGCAAAAATGGACGTATGTGAAATGGCAAAACCCACTTGCGAACGATAGCTGAAGTGGATTGAAACTGCATTATTTAGCATGTGTGAAAGTGACACATGCTAAGAACGTAACAGGTGCCTTACTTGATCCAGTACTCTGCATCAGCAGGCAGCCCCAGAGGCCTCTGCACACTCAACAAGTAGTGCCTTCAAGTGGTAGTCCTGGATAGGCTTTTCCCCTTGAATTTTTCTAATCTTTTTTTAAAAAGGCATCAACGCTAGATGCGGCTGTCACAACATCTTATAGTCATAAATTTCACATGTTAATCACAGTTTTGTTTTATACCAGCTACTTTATGCAAGCCTGGGAAAAAAGACTTTCCATCTTGGGTTGTGTTTTTCCCCCCTCAACAAAGTTCCTTTTAATGCATACCTGGGGCAGGAAGTGCAGTGATGCTGCATGTCCTGGGTACACACTCCCAAAATAAACCTGTGAGCGTTTTCTTTGCTCAGAAACCTCCTTCTGCGCTTACATTTTTGGAGCACTCGAGGTGACTGAATATATTTGCTTTTTTTCCCTCCCTCCCTTTTACAAAATAAAATGCTGAAGTCAGAAAAGAAATATTAGTGGGCAGTCCAGCATGAATTAGAATGCGTGACACTGCAAGGCCGTATTTTCCCCCCCCTTCTGCTTGGTGTTTTGTAGGTCTTATCCTGATGAGATTGGGCCCAAACACTGGCCGAACTCCAGGTTTACCCATGTGATGAAGCTGCGCCAGGCGGCTTTGAGAACTGCCAGAGAAAAATGGTCTGACTACATCATGGTAAGAGTTCCAGGCTGCTGGCAAAAGAGGGAAAGAAAAACAGTCGTTCTGAATGTTACAAAAAAACAACTCTTCCTCTGAGATTTAAAAGGGGGAAACGGGGTGTGTGTGGCTTTTACTGAAGTTCTTCTCCGCTGCTAAATGCTTTTGTAGACAACTTTGACAGTTTGGGCTATAGATACCTTTGTTTCCCTAGCTCCAGAAATCCTCTTATAACTATCGCCCTATCTCCTTCTTCCTAATATTGGAAGAGGATGAAGATTACCTGCAATCAATCCTTTAACAGGTTGGGGTGTTTGTTCCCCCTTCTATTGGGTAAGTTTAGCTTCCACATGCCCTTCACTGTTTAAATGCATATATTCCCAATCTCATGCTGATTTCTTCCTTGTCATCCTTCTCCTTTTGCTTTTCGCGTTTGTTCCCCCTTAGCTTCCACATACCCTTCACTGTTTAAATGCGACATATCCTTGTCATCCTTCTCCTTTTGCTTTTCTGCTTTAAAATTCCAGGTACCTGGGAAGTTCATTTACTAAAATGTTGGGTATGTTTCCTTTAAAAAATAGTTTTATTTTACTTGAAAAATTGTTCTGCAGGGGGAGGGAAAGGTGGGATTGTGACTGTCACTATGGATAGCCAACAGGAAGCACGGGTTTCCTTGAGCTTGATACGTGAGGGAAGGTTGAACATCTGACCTGAACTGATGGAATGTGATACTGCAGTTGGCTTTACCACATAAATTATGTTTAGGATGTACCCTTAAGATTCCTAACTGTGCTTTATAACCCCTCCTTGTGCAAGCACCTATGTAAGGAGGGGATGTATATACAGATGAAGAGTGGATTCTTAACTAGTCAACCATTCACCAATGAAGCTCTGTGCTGCTGTGGTGTTTGTATGTAACAAAATTAATACCCACCATCCCTTGTCATGGTCTAATGTTCATGGAGAGTAGCAACACCTCAAATGACTTGAGGCAAAGCTTCGATATTGCTGTTGCCAAAGGGCCCGAGGGAGCTCTAGGGTGCTGCCTGAGTACAAGCTGACATGCTTTTCTCACATCCAGTAGTTAAGATCCAAACATAAAAGTGTTAAGGCTTTAACTTGCCGGAGAGGCCTACTGCCTCTAAACCTAGATGCAGGCTGGCTGGGATCACTGTTGGCTGAGGAAAATGCACTCTGATTGCCCTCTTGTTACTACCACAGTGGTTCCAAGCTAGGCCCAAGCAGGGTTCAGCCATAGCTTTTTTTAAGCCCTTGTTCTCCAATGGCTCCAGCCTTGGATTAGTTCTGTGGGCCTGGTACAAAATGTTTGGAGGTTTCTGCTCTTGTTTACAGAGTTAATAAGTACGGGGGTTCCATTCCAGTCTAGTGGTGATCACCTACTAAATAGCATCGCTTGTTGGTATGCGCATATAAGCAGTTATAAAGTTGACCAATGTTTGCCTTGGCTGGAGTTCAGTGTAAACTTTGGTTAGCTTAATGCTGGTAGATTTGTGGTGGAAGTCTCTACTTACTTTTTCATTTTGCTGTATCCCAAGAGCTCAGGATGGGTAAGGCTCCCCACAACCTGATTGGACAAAATCTCACTTTATTGGGTTGGTTCCAGTGTGAAACTTCCATTCGCGCAAATGGAAACACAAGGAGATGCCCACGGCAGCCACCTGCCCTGTCAAATGCACTGTGTCACCATTGGTATTTCCACTTGCGCAACCAATTACTGGGCATTATAGTATATAGGGAGGAAAGCACTACAAGTTCTGAAAGGTCTTGCACAAGTGGAATTGCGCGAATGCTTGTGCATCGTTGGATACAAGCCCACGTCCATCCTTTTTTCTAGTTCATAGATGCCGACAACTTCCTGACAAACCCAGAAGTTCTGAATCTGTTGATAGCAGAGAACAAGACCATTGTGGCACCCATGCTTGAATCACGCACCCTCTACTCAAACTTCTGGTGTGGAATGACTCCTCAGGCAAGCGATGTTACTGTTGCCTTCTTACTTATCTGTACAGCCCTGTCAATGTACGTGGGTCTTTCTGTGTGAACAGACAGTGGTAGAAAGGGCGCTGCCTCGGGTTACCAGCTCTGGGTTGGGAAATGCCTGGAGATTTTGGGGGTGGAGCATAACCAGATTCCCTCTTGCATGCACCTAAAAACAATTAGCATTTACTTCATGGCAGTATGCGAACAGGCAGCATTACAGTGGTCATCCAAAATTGTTTACTTGGCATTTGCAGGCGAGGGATGCTGACTGATTATGTCTACCTGTCAGCTGTGTGAATGGTGCATTCTCCAGGCACTGGTAGGACCACTTCTTTTCCTTCCATCAGCTGGTGCCGGTTCCTTCAGTGGCTGCTGTAGAATAATTTTGATGCCATCTGATTATCTGAGCCAGAATCTCCCCTCATGATCTGAAAGAACAAGGGCCTTCGGCAGCCCTCTCTTCAATCTCATGCTGTCCGGGAAAACTGGATACTAGAAGTACCATGATAAGAGCATGCAGAGTGTGCTCACCTTTATATTTAGGTTTAACGTCACCACAGTCTCTCCCAGCCCATTTTGATTTCCTGACAGTCCCATGCTACAGATGATTATGAAGCTATTGGGACGCTTAAATAAGGTGCCTTACTGTGAGCGACTGTGCCAATGCAGTTCTGGCCAAATAGACACCCTTCAACACTGTCTATTTGACTGTGGTTTGCTTAACAAGGCATGAGATAGTTGGATAAAACCTTATATCCAGGACTCTAGGTGTGAACTGGATAATTTGAGGTTTCTTTTAGCAGGGGTGGATTTTAATATTACACTGGCAGTTGCCAAGTTCTTTTCTCAGTTGGTTAAGATTAAAATCATTAAATTTTTGTATTATGTAGACACATGTATTAAATAAATTTCCTTCGTAGAGCCGAATTGGCTGTAAGAGCAGTATCATAACAGTATAATTTTTAAATTATACATTTCATAAGCTTTGCACTTAACCAGCATCAAGAGACCCAGTTTGATGTAGTGGTTAGGAGCGCAGACTCTAACCTGGGAGAACTGGGCTTGATTCCCCACTCCTCCACATGCAGCTGCTGGTGTGACCTTGGGTCAATTACAAGTTATTTCAGAGCTATTCTCTCAAGAGCAGTCCTCGAAAAAGCTCTCTCAGCCCCGCCTACCTCACAGGGTGTCTGTTGTGGGGAGGGAAAGGGAAAGGACATTGTAAGCCACTCTGAGACTCCTTCGGGTAGTGAAGGGCGGGGTATAAGTCCCATCTCTTCTTCATCCTGTCCTTCCCTAGCAACCCATTAAGTGGATGGTTTTTTTCTATTCCTTTTACACAGACAGAAAACTCAGTCTGTGACCTTTATGGTTCCTAATTCCTAGTCCACCAAGTTCAGCACCACCCTCCAATACCCTAGCATCATCAGGTTTTTGTTTGTGTAAATATGAAGAAGAAAATCTATAGAAGGAATAACATCTCGCCCGATTTTCTCTCCTGCTGCTTCTACTTTTGTTTTGTTTATAGATGATTCCAGTGCTGTTATTTCAGTCTGTCTCATCAATTTTTCCTTCTGGGGATTAATTGCTGACGCATAGCCCAAGGGCACCAGGCAGCTGGAGCAGTGATGTTGCAGTGTTTTTCGGAAGCAGGAGCATAAGTGATGGTTTTTGGAAACAGGAGCATAAGTGATGGACACTTATTGGTTGGTTGGTCCTACAAAAACATCCAGCTGTACATTTCCAACAAGCAGGACAACTTACCAACAAGTCCACAGTTTATGGGAGGCCGAAAAAGTACATCAGGGTAACCCTCTCCATGCTCACCTTTAGTGAGAAGGCTTCATTTCGATGTGGCTGTTTTGGGTGACTCAATATTTGGAATGATCTTTGGCACTGCCTTGGTCTCATCTTGGCAGTAAGCTAGAAAGTTGTGCTTTTTCAGGGTGGACCTCTTAGGCAATTGTTTCCATCACTGAATGTTCTGGTAACATGACTTGCACAAAAACATTTGCCGGCGCATGAACAACAGAAAAACCCAAGGTGGCAGAATGTTTACTAGGCATGAGGATATGTAGAGACTTGGGGGTCTGTCTTCCCTCACCCATACGTCTTTTAAAGATGCCCGGTTTCTGAATTGAATCTCTGGAGCAGGAATACCAGAAATCTTACATCCACATGGAGGAATCTCATCTTGATAAAAAGGCCCAGTCAATTTCACATAAGCTAGTGGCATTAAAAAAAAGGGCAGAGTGTTAAAAAAAGTACTGTTCCAGACATTCTTCCCAATCATGCAAAATCCTATCCTTCCATTTGGTACAGTGATGAGAGAATGAAGAGTTACCACTGGAATGGAGACTGGATCTTTGTAAGACTTTTCTTTTAAAAGCAGCCCCTGGGGTGGGGATTTGGATGGGGTTGCAGCACAATTGCAGAGGGTGGAATCACTCCCCCCTGCATCTTTTCCCCAAGAAATGATGTCCAGTTGCTTTACATCTTGCCTATCCATAAACCCCAGCCCCATGGTTGCTTTTATTAAGGATGTCTAAAGTTCCAGTCTTCAGTGTCTCATCTAGTTGTACTCTTGACTATTGATCTTTTGTCACATCAGGGCCAATTCACATGATACAAACACCTATTGGATACTGCAAGGACTTTGTTTCGCACGTATGGTGGGAGTTCTTTGCCTCTCCAGTGTGTTTGAGGGGTGATTGGGGAGAGTGTACCTTGATTGTGGCCAAAGGCTTCTGCCTCTCATTCAGGGCACTGTTTTCACAAATGGAAATAGTGCTGGGCAGCGACTGTTTGCTCCATTCGGAAATTTACTAGTGACCAACACTAGAGACTCCAAAGACTTCGTACTGTGTAGACTCGACCCTCACTGTCTGAATAGGTGCTAGAAAAGGGATTTGCCGGCTACAGGTATTTTTGCTGTTTTGAATGCAGGTAAGCGAGAGAGAGAAAAACCTGTCAGGAGCTTGCTGGAGGTGTTTGACAGGCATCTTCCGGCTTGCAGAAACAGCTGGTTGACCTTTGGTGGTGGTTCAGTTTCCACACTTGCTTTCTATCTGCTTCATGTGGCCTATTAAGTGTTCAGTTCCAAGAAATCTCAGTAAGCTTGGTAGTGGGAGTATAGCTCAAATTTAGCCAGATGATTGATCTGCCAAGATCAGCTTCTTTTTTTTGCAGAGAAAGTATTTTATCTTATTTGTTGCTCACCCAACATAAGAGTCATAAGAGTGTTTTTTGTGCATGCGAGAGTGAGGGATGATTTTGCCTCCAGTGCCCAATGTTCAAACTGACCTGCAGACTGGGTACCTCACATTCTGGAGGTTTGCGGCTCACGGAAACGAATTGGGCCTAAAGATTCTGGCAGGCACTCCCTCTCATTTGAATTAAGCTATGAGCTTTTTTTGTTCTAGGGCTACTACAAGAGGACACCAGATTATGTCCTGATCAGGGAATGGAAGAGGGCTGGTTGCTTTGCTGTTCCGATGGTCCACTCCACGTTTCTGATAGATCTCAGAAAAGAGGCCTCAGATCAGCTGATGTTTTATCCGCCACATCAGGACTATACATGGAGCTTTGATGACATCATTGTCTTTGCCTTCTCCAGTCGCCAAGCAGGTAGGGCTTTGTGAAAACATCTACTGTGGACCAACACGGTAGACTTTACACAGTATGCAGTGTCACGGAGCCAAGTGCATGTTGTTCTTGGAACTGCACTGGGGTGACTTTATAATAACTGTAATAAGACTAATCTCTGAGTAACCACGGTGATGGATGTATATTGCCTCTAATGTACATGCACATAAATGTATACCCATGTATATCCTGAATACTAAGTTGCCATGTAGTATATAGCCTGTCCTTTCCTGTGCAAAAACTAGTCAGGATCTTTATGAACTGCTGCACCAATTACCCTTTTGTATGCTTTATCTCTAAATCAACACTGGGCACTCTACCACCTAATTCATCATATCATTTATCAGGCCGTAGGGCCATGGCACTGCAGAGAAACTTTGCTGTTATTTCAGTTATTTCTGTGTCTGTGTTATCGAGCAAGAAAAGAAGCTTAAAATCATCAGGGGACTCTAAAAAATGGCCTAATATGGGATATAGAAGATCCCGACGGGACACCAAATAGAGAGGGCACTGGAAGAGAACATGGGCAACAGTTTCAACACAATCCTTCCTACAAGGACAGCACCTGCTAGGATAGGGAATCCCTTGGAATCTGCCAGATAAAATAGCTGAAGGAAGAACATTAAATCTAGCCAAGGATATGGCTCTACGCAAATTTGGAGCTATGAGTTGATAGAGGTATACTGCTGGAAGATTTGCATTAGGAATAATCCCCAGATGTAAGGGAGAACAGGTTCTGTTAGCCAGGCTATAAAGAGTTTGTAGCTCTGTAGTATATAGCCTGTCCTTTTCTGTGCAAAAACTAGTCAGGATCTTTTTGAACTGCTGCACCAATTACCCTTTTGTCTGCTTCATCTCTAAATCAACACTGGGCACTCTACCGCAGAGTAAGGTCCTTTGTACCCGCAAGGTGGCTGACAGAGGTGATAGAATTGTCATCTCCACCACCTGAGACTCCAGGTGGAAGGCTGATTTTTTAGAATGCTCTCCGAAGTGTTTTGTTTTGGAAAAGTATATAGTGAACTAGCAGTTGCCCTGATCTGGGTAGCCTAAGCTAAGTAGGGTCGGCCCTAGTTAGTACGTGACCGTGAGACCACCAGAGAAGGCCAGGGTTCCTATGTGAAGGCAGGCCATGGCAAACCACTTCTGAATGTCTCTTGCCTTGGAGATCCCATGGGGTGATTATAAGTCCTCTGCAACTGGACTGGACTTTCCACCACCAGCTAAGGAGAGGGTTATGCCAACCCTTTATCTCTGGTGTGCTATTACATAAAGGAGGTTGTTTTTATCCTGAGGAGCTTTTACAAATATCTTCCCCTGCAGTCCTAAGACATACAACAAATAATGGTTCCCTCAGTCTATCACCTCATTTCATGTAACATATGAAAAGCTCTGTGAATTCAGCATGTTGCGTGTGTAGTCCTTTTCCTAACACTGTACTGTCAATGTTACATCATGCACCACTGACTGTAGCTGACCCTAACCCACCATATTGTGTCGCTTTGGGGGGGGGGGGGCTGCTGCTGGGAAAAGGGCTGAACTCACCCCGCACACAGAAACGGGTGAATTTCCTAAAACACAACAGGAAACCCAGAAGCATGCGTTACTTTAGTTCTGCCTCTGTGTTCATTCCCATACTCGACATCTAAATCCTGGCCTGAACATCAAAGCCATCTCTCATTAATGGTAATCAAATCAGTAAGTATCGATACTTGCACCTCCTCCTAAGGAACTACATGTCCCCATGGTTGGTTGGTTTTAAGCCACAAAATACAGCAGAAAGCTTCCTATTGTGCCACCGACCTAAGCAGTAACCCTGCATCCAGGAGCAGAGAACTTTCTTCAGTATATGAAAGGTGCAAGTAGTAATACTTGGTATTGATTAATACACAAACATGTCCCTCTGTGAAATGTTGGAAGCCATGTTGTTTATGTAAAAACTGGGCATTGGGTAATATCCTGGACTTAGTCTTAAATCAAGGTTTCGAGGCACCTCTAAGTAAAGGAAATTATGATGGAAATAGTGAGGATAAAAACATTAACCAACACTGTTGGAGGAACTGCTTTGAAATGGCTCTGAAAATGTTTTTTACAAGGCAAAGCAGGTCAAAGTCTGGGGAATGAGGGAGGCGGATGCACGAGTTGATTAAATCATTGCCAAATCCATTAATGTCAGGATATCTTTTCATCCATTTCCCATAATGACACCTGACAGTTGAACTGTGGTTTGGCAAAGGGTTATAGTCAGCTGGTTTGCCTGCGGAGAGAAATTCATAATGGAGCAGACACACAACAGCCTTTTCCGTAGTCAACTAAAAATACCAGGAGGGGTCTGCTATTAATAATCTGGGGCCTCTGGCTCAGCTGGTCATGTCTGAGTGGAACTTAATTTTGAACTCCTAAGCTTAGATCTTTCAAAAAAATAGTAATTAAAAAAAAATTATGCTTCATATTGGATGGCAGCTTTGGTGTGTCCTGAGTTTCTGCAGCTTTTTAGGGCTGCTGTTGATTTAACTGTGATTCTGATTTATGACCCATTACCATTACTCATGTCCCCGTCCCCCCCATTGGCTTTGGCATTCTCTGACTCAATGGCCGAGGCCCGGAACCAGAGAAGGAACCTGTGTCTGCAGAAGATAATCACATCTGCAGCCAGGCCTTTGGTTAATGTTTTCACAGAGGCAAGCCAAGCTCCAGCTGACTTTCCCCTTCCCTCCTGGATCTTAGCCCAAGTACCTAAATCAAGAGGCATGCATTGGGATGCATTGAGGTGTGGCCAGAGCATATTGCAGAGTGGGCTGCTCATCAAATTGCATTAAATCCTATACTCGGTGACTTTTTCCAATGACAAACCTGGTGTTGAATTCATTGAGCAAAGTTTATTGGCAGCTGTGACGGACTGTCAAGGGTTAATGCCTAACAGAGTCTGAAAACCTTTGAGTGACAAGCTGTTCAAATGGAATTCTGTTGAGAGATGACAGTTGGGAACTGACAGTTCAAGAAGAGACAGTTAAGCACTGACTGTGGACTGGGAAGGAGGCTAAGAGAGTGAGTGAATCAAGGAGGATCCT